ACCGACAATCGTTTTTTTAGCGTCTAATATGCCACCGACGGACTGCTGCAATAACAAACTCGGATAACGGATCCCGCATATGGACAAGAAAATAAAAGCGATAGAGTTCACGATACAATTTCGAGAAGCTTAGCGAGTATTTAAAGAGAAAAAGCGAGTGCCCAGAGTGGTAAGAGAAAAAGAGAGAGAGCACGTTGCGATTAAGAGGAACCGTCTACCGTGGAAAACTGTGTAAATTGTTTAAAATTAATAAACGGCGTGTTTATCAAAATATTTCGAATCCGATTAACCTGAAAAAATTCCTACAATAGTGGTAGCAACATCATATGTAGTACGAAAGTGACAAAAAATAAAAGTTATTGAAAGTAAAAGCGGAGACACATCAGAAAACGTAAATGAACGACGCACAGTGGTGCCATTCCCCGAAATGTGGTAATAAGTCATTTTTTAAAAAGTATACCTATAATGAAAACTTTATTCACATATATTTAACTGGACATATGGATCATGATTTGGCATAATTTTTTTTACGATTTAGTAATTTTGGAAACGACTAGGCGGTTCTGAAGTGGTCAATCTCAAAATCGTCCGAAACTAAATTCGTCGTCTATAACTGTGTTGTTTTTTTAAATTAAATGATGAGCGATGAAATCAATTTTACCTAGTATGTACTTGAATTGTAACAAATTATATTTTTATATTTATAATATTCTTTGAGTTATGATTATTTGAATGTTTTGAATTTTCATTCCATTTTTTAATTAGGACAGAAGCGAGATAAAGGTTTCGTTTTAGTCACATTTTGAAGACTGATGTCTAGCCTTCATTTCTAAATAAAAATTAGCTGCTACCAGTTGCTACTCTGGAAATGACAGCAATAAACGTTTGCTCCGGTACGTACGAGCGTAAACTGATCCACGCACATTCGGTGCGTCGGTTCCTGCAGAACGTAGGATTCGGCTAGTGATTTCCGTTGATCTGACTCGTAATGATATTATATAGTAGCTCGCTGAATTTGTTACAACAAATGCTATCATATTATGAACAAAAAAATATATGGTTCCATTTAACAAAATTACCTTGATCTCGAGTCTCCCCCACTACACCACCTACACAAAAATTATTTATACCGCATAATGCGTCCCTTTAAATAAAACAACTTTTGTAAAAACATTTCTTTGATATCTTCAATACCTCGTAAAATATTGTATGCGATCAGTCAGAAAATGTTTTTACCGCATTTTCGGGAAACGGCACCACTGTGAGACGAGATGTTACAGAAAGAGATTTCAGAAAGAATAAATTTTAGTATATAACTAAGAAATGTTGGACCACAACTGTCTTCAAATATTGCTGAATCAATACAGTATTTCAAATTGTTTTCCAAGTATCAATTGTTACATGATATAAAGAAACCAATAACTACGTAAGATATATTCTACAATCGAAACAAATAACGTAATTTTATTTGACGAGCTTGGCATGCCATGAATGAGGGTGAATTCTGGGCTTTTATCGGGGTTACCCTCAATATGGGTACAATGCCCTCCCCCACGCACCCGTTTAGTTGTCCAGACGGCAGGGGAGGTGAACCCCTACGTGGCGCGTCCCCAGGTGGCAGATAGGGGCAGCCGCTGGTATGGGATGCGGGGATGAGGTCATCAACCTGCGAAGGCTGGTGGCCGCATCCTCGCGTGGCATCCCGGAGGTCGGAAACACCGGTATGAATGTGTTGCGCGTGTGAATGTGTGTGTGAGTGGACTGGGGAATGGGATATTTGCCGCGGGTTTTACCTAAGGCCACAGGTTGGCCAGTTGGCAGCGGGTGAGTCCTGCGGTCAACGTGGCCACGCGGCTGGCGGCTTAGTCCTATGTCACGGGGCCGCGGGCGCTGGTGACCAAGTGTCTGCGGTTGAGTGGAAATGCGGTGGGAGGAGTGCCCCTCACCGGGAAGGGCCTAAAATGGCACGGCTCGGCGAGGGACTCTGTGATGTCTCACTAGAGTTCCCGGCCCCTCGCCAGGCGCCTGAGGATGGTCACCGTGGGGTTTTAGCCGGTAAGAGTCCGGCACTACCCGCCGGCCTTCCCATCGGGTTGTTAGAGGGTATCGCACCATCTCCCACGAAGCGGCGACTACCCTGGCGTGTCTCTCGTCCCTGGAGCTCCTAGCCTGGAGAAAGGCAAGCGGTCGAGGCGACGAGGTGCCGTGCTCGACGGACCAGTTTGTTTGTGTGGTTCCACCAACTTATACAAGGTAGTGGTTCCACACAGCGGTCCGTTGGTGCAGTCCTGCTACATTGGCAAGAGTGGCAGTACATACCGGGTAGGCTGTCCTATAGGATGATATAGGTGCTCACCGGGCATGGTTGTTTTGGTGAGTACCTGTGTCGAATTGAGAAGAAGGCGACGACGGTGTGCCACCATTGTGGAGACCCTCAGGACACGGCGCAGCACATCCTGGAAGCCTGCCCAGCGTAGGCAGATGACTGCGGTGTCCTGCAGCAGGAAATTGGGAGGAACCTCTCGCTGGCCACAGTAGTTGGCAAGATGGTGGTCAGCGAGAGAATATGGCAAGTGGTGGCCTCTTTCTGCGAGATAGTTATATCGGAGAAGGAGGCCACCGAGCGGGAGCGTGAGCGGACCGCGCATTCTTCTCGGAGAGGGAGGGCTCGGAGGGGGGCCAGAGAGTGGCATTCTTCGCCTCCTGGCCCCCTCCAACGGCCATGAGGTCCGGTGAGACCTTCAGAAGTGGGGCGGCCCGTCAGCATTCTTTTTTTACCACCACATCGGTGGCCAGGAGATTGACGGGCCGAACAACCTCCGTTCGGACCTGTGGAAAAACGGTAACATTACAACCGTGAATTTCACGAGCTGACCGTGCCCGACGGTCTGTTAATTTTATAAAACGCGTTTTCGCCAACGGCTCCAGATTCGAACGCGTTAACGGCCGTTTTTTCGGTGTCGGTCAAGTAAACAGTGCCGGTATTACGATACCGTGACCTGGTGTCCTACCTGTAGTTCGTCGACAGTGCTGTGTGTGTTTTTCGTCGTTTGAACTAAACGGTCGTCGTTTCTTTTAAACTTGTCCGGTATGCCGACTAATTCAACCGAACTCGTGTCCGCCCAACGAGAACTGGGTGGACGAATAGTCCGTTTTTTAACCAATTTGAAAAAAACTGGGAAGGAAAGCCTCTCTCTCTCCTTACTCAAGCGGAGGCAGAAGCTCCTGGACGAATATTGGACGGAATTTAGTCATCGACACCGTGAACTGGTGCTCCTTGCGGACAGAAAGGACGCCTACTTTGCTACAGATTACTTTTCGGAGGTGGAAGAGGAGTACATCGACCAAGGGGCAGTCATCGATGAATGGGTTGCGACCATGAACGCGTCGACCGTGGACCATCCAGGAACCTTTAAACCACCTCCAACCGTTCAAGATCCGGAACCAGCTCTGCCGCAGATCAACCTTCCCACCTTCTCGGGAGATCTCTTCCAATGGGAAAGCTTCCGTGACCAATTCTGCTCCCTGATCCACAACTCCGCGCGGATCTCCAAGGTACGTAAGTTACAATATTTAAAATCGTGCCTGGTCGGTGAAGCAGCAAAAATGCTCATGCTGACTCCCGTCACGGAGAGCAATTATGACGGAGCGTGGGCGTCTCTGGAAAGGCGTTTTGGCAATCGCCGCATACTGTCCGCGTCCCATATGAGACGGTTAATTCAAATCTCCCATGCGACGAAAACCTCGCAGTCAGAAATCAAACGGCTTCTGGATGAGTTCCGCCAAACTCAGGAGGCCTTCAAGGCGTTGGGCAAGCCCGTCAAAGAGTGGGACGAGTGGTTTGTTTTCCTTCTGACGGAAAAACTGGATCAAACCACGCGACTGGCCTGGGAGGTCTCGCTCACCGATCCACTTGAGATTCCGCAGTTCGCCGCTTTGGAGATGTTCCTGGAAAATCGGGTCCACGCTCTGTCCTCGGCTCGCCAGTTCGATGTACCTGCCGCCCCAAAGGTACCCTTGACAGGTCGTGGCAGTCCCTCCGGTCCCACGCGTACTGCAATGACGGTCAACGTCAGCGAGGCAAAAAAGAAACCGAAGGGTGGCCGTCAGTGCCCGTTATGTTCCGGTACCCATACGCTAGGCGCGTGCAGACGGTTCAGGGGCTTACCGAACAACGAGCGTCGAGCGTTCGTGACGAAATCGGGCGTATGCATCTCGTGTTTAGCTACCGGTCACCAGGTCCAGAACTGCACCTCCAACTTCCGCTGCTGGGTGTGTGACGGGCTGCACCACACCACTCTTCACGATGCCTGCAACAGCACGATCGGAGAGAGAAACCCAACACCTTCAACCTCTACCTGCTCCGCCACCTACACCGTGAGCTCACACCGGGTGACGCTCCTAGCTACGGCCCAAGTGCTTCTCGAAGCTCCCGACGGGAGAACACTCACAGTTAGGGCCTTGCTGGACTCCGGCTCGGAATGCTCATTCCTCAGTGAGTGGGCGGCGCAATCTCTGAGGCTGCGGAGGCGAGCGGTTCGGGTCAACCTCACCGGGTATCAAGGAGCCAGCGTGGGGACGGCACGATCCGAGGTTCACGTGACCATTCGGTCACCCCTCGACGACAGTTTCCGGCTGCAATTGGAAGCCCTGGTGACCAAAAGCCTCACCGCACCCACACCATCGCAACCGTTGGAAGACAAAGAGTGGCCTCACATCAAGGGACTGACCTTGGCTGACCCGACGTATACTGTTCCAGGTCGAGTGGACGTCCTCTTGGGTGCCGACGTCTGTGGCCGCTTGTTTCAGGACAAACGCGAGGGGCCTCCTGGAGCACCGGTGGCGATCTTGACCCCCTTCGGCTGGACACTCATGGGGCTAGCTGACGGCTCGGGGTCCTCTCGATCCGCCCGAATACTGCACGTCCGCCGCGATGCACCCTCGATCGACCTCCAACAGTTCTGGGAATTAGAAGAAGTTCCTGTTACCACTCCGATGACTCCCGAGGAACTGAAATGTGAACGACTGTTTCAGGACACCACGTTCCGAGAAGAGTCTGGTCGTTACGTCGTGCGTTTGCCCTTCAGAGATGCGGCGACGAAGGTGGGGACCTCCAGAACACCTGCCCTCAGAATTCTGCTCTCGGCCGAACGGAAACGAGAACGGGACCCCAGTCTTCGGCAGCAGTATTCTCGGTTTATGGAGGAGTACCAGCGGCTGGGGCACATGAGTGCGGTAACCAAACCGCTAGCGGAGGACGATGCCGGTTATTACCTACCTCACCACGCAGTTTGGAAGGATGCTGACGGCGTGCAGAAGATCCGGGTGGTCTTCAACGCCTCCTGTACCTCGGCTGGAAGCGCCTCACTTAATGACGCGCTGCTGCCGGGACCGAAGCTGCAGACCGACCTCTGGGCGGTCATTACACGATGGCGGCTCTTCAGGGTAGCTTTCTCGGCGGACATCGTCAAGATGTTCCGGCAAATCCTGGTGCATCCAGACGACCGGGATTGGCTCCGCATCCTGTGGAGGAACGATCCATCAGAAAGGGTCACGGATTTCCGCCTCAACACAGTGACTTATGGCACTGCTCCAGCACCCTACCTGGCCCATCGGGTGCTTAAACAGCTGGCTGACGACGAAGAAGCAGCGTTCCCATTGGCCGCCCAGGTGCTCCGTACCAACGCCTACGTCGACGACATCTTGGCTGGGGCCGACAACATCGAGGAAGCCTGGAAGATACGCCGAGAACTTACGGACCTGCTCCGCTCGGCAGGATTCACGCTCGACAAGTGGGCCAGTTCCGACAGGAAGCTGAGCTCACCGTTCGTTGAGGTAAAAACCTTCCAGGAACCCGAGGTCCATGGAACATTGGGTCTCAGGTGGGACACGACAAAGGACTCGATTGCCGTGCGAGGACCGTGCATCGCCGAGGAGAGCCCCAGAACCACGTGGACCAAACGATTGGTTCTGTCCGAAATTGCACGACTCTTTGACCCACTGGGATGGTTAGCGCCGGTCTTGATCCAAGCTAAAGTTCTGTTACAGGATCTATGGTTAGCAGGAGTATCGTGGGACGAGGCCATCAGCGAGCCGATTACTCACCGCTGGACCACCTTCCGTCGGGAAATTCCGGAGCTCGACGAGATATCCGTACCTCGGTGGCTTCAGTACTCGCCAGGCGACTGTGAGGCAGAGCTACACGGGTTCTGCGATGCGTCCGAGCGTGCCTACTCTGCAGCCGTATACCTGGTCGTGCGTCGGGCTACGGGATCCACTGCGTCACTGGTGATGGCCAAAACGCGAGTAGCGCCGACCAAACTACTCAGCATACCTCGTCTGGAGTTGTGCGGTGCCGTCTTACTGGCGCGACTGCTGGCAGCGCTGCAAAAGGGACTGGGATTCAACAACATCAGGATCCAGACATGGTCGGACTCTACGGTGGTGCTAGCCTGGCTTCAAGCTCACCCGTCTAAGTGGAAGCCCTTCGTCGCACATAGAGTAGCTGAGGTACTCAACCTCGTATCCGGAGCGTCCTGGAGGCACGTGAGTACGCACGAAAATCCTGCCGACCTGGCAACCAGGGGAATGTCGAGTCGGGAGCTGCAACAATCGACCCTGTGGTGGACTGGACCGACTTGGCTCACCAGGGATCCCGAGCAGTGGCCAGCGTCTAGATCTTGGAGCGCGACCGAACGGGTACCTGAAGAACGTCAGACCACGGTCTTGCTGTCGAGAACTTCGGACGAGGAAAATACTTATCTGGCCAGGTTTTCCTCCCTCGATCGCCTTATTCGTGTCACCGCTCAAATCAGGCGATTTGCGACCCGCTGTAGGACAGCGGACAGTGAACGGACCGAGTTCCTGACCACGATGGAACTCCAAGGGGCGCTGCTCACCACCATCCGTCTGAGCCAGCGGGAAACTTTCACCTCCGAGCTGCAGAAGTTATCCGGGGGTTCTGCGATCCCTACAACATCCCCACTAATTTCGTTGCGACCTTTTCTAGGACCGGATGGGATCATCAGGGTCGGCGGACGGCTGCAGAACGCTACCTTGGGAGAGGCTCGTCGTCATCCGGCTATTCTCCATCGAGCGTCACATCTGGCCACTCTTGCGATCAGGGATGCGCATCACAAGACCTTACATGGCGGAGTCAACGCCACCCTGGCATGGGTCCATCGGGCTTTTTGGATTCCCAGGGGTCGTGCTCGGGTCAAGCAGGTACTCCACGAGTGCGTCGTTTGCACGCGGACGAAGGCCAGAACAGGTCACCAGCAGATGGGCAACCTGCCTGCGGCCAGAGTGCAGCCATCGAAGCCCTTCCTCCGTACAGGGGTGGATTACGCAGGCCCATTTGCATTGCGAACGGCTAAAGTCAGGGGCCACAAAAGCCAGAAGGGTTACGTAGTGGTCTTTGTCTGCATGGTCACTAAAGCGGTGCATCTTGATGCAGTAACTGACCTTACATCCTCTGCGTTCCTGGCAGCATTCCACAGGTTCACCGCACGCCGAGGTCACTGCGGTCAACTATTCAGCGACAACGGTACCACCTTCCAGGGAGCATGTGGACTGCTGCAGCGGATGTTCAGGGCCACGTCAGACTTCTATGGGGCAGCGGCTGGGACCTTGGCCAATGAGGGCACGGAATGGTCCTTCATTCCACCATATTCTCCACACATGGGGGGACTATGGGAAGCAGCGGTTAAAAGCATGAAAACCCACCTCAAACGAGTCATAGGTGAAGCCACACTCACCTATGAGGAGATGGCCACGTTGCTTTGCCGTATCGAAGCCTGCCTCAACTCGCGACCACTCACGGCTCTCTCCGACGATCCACAGGACCTGGAACCCTTAACCCCAGGGCATTTTTTAGTAGGGGAACGAATCCGCTCACCACCTGAACCTCTCCTCGAAAATTCAACCATCCCACTTACCGCTCGTTGGAAGCTCGTCACTAACTTGCACGAACACTTTTGGCGCAGGTGGAGTCGGGAGTACACGCACGCACTACAACAGCGCGTAAAATGGCCGAGGAAACAGGACAATCTCCGACCGGGCAGATTGGTGCTGGTGAAGGACGACCTCGCCCCTGCGACTCGATGGCCGTTGGCCAGAGTCGAAGTCCTCCACCCCGGGAGTGACGGCCTCGTTCGCGTCGTGACCCTGAGGCAGGGCTCACGCACCTTCGACCGAACCGTGGCGAAATTGGTCCCTCTGCCCGTCCACGATGACCACAACCCGGCTTAATTCGAACCACGTTTCTCCAACGTTTCTCATGGCGGGCGGCGTACTACGTCGTACTACGTCGCACCACGACGAATCCACGAGAGGGGCCCGAACGACGCCGACCGCGCCCGAAGCGATCCATTGAGACCATCGATTTCGACATCGATAATTCGACGTCGAGGCGGGCGGCATGTTGTGGACGGATTAAATTGTGGACTTATTAATTTACGCATTTTGACGATATATAGATTTATTACCATTTTAACAAACTGTACATTATCTAAATAAATGTCACCGGTTGATCGACAGCGCGTGCGCTGCCGCGGGCTCAGCGCCTCTCCCCCCAGACCCCGCGAGCACCACGGGTGGATCGAGCAGCTCGGGCTCTCCGGGGAGTGGGGCAAGAGGAGAGCGTCGAGCGATAGCGCGCGTTACAGCTGATCGCACTCAACCGTATTGTTTCGACCAGCGAGTTTAGCGTCTGTTTTCTCTAGTGACCTCCTCGTTCCGTTGAGATTAAAACCGCAGAATAAGTTGGCAAAGTTCCGACCACGGAAAACCCAAATTATTCAAAACAATATATTTGTGTCTATATAACTTGAATTTAAATTCAAATGGTAATGAAAAATCAATGACGCATGTTTGTACATTATTTTTTAATCCTGGACTCGTTAATGGTACTTCTCTAAGATTAGATAGGGACAGTAATGGGGATGAAAATTTAGTGTCAGTGCCTTCTAGTTCGTAACATTTAAGCTTTTTATTATAATCTCTAATCATGTATTTCATGAAACCTCTCCTTCTATTCATTCCTGATTGCAGAAATGCATATATAACTCTAATAATTTTTAAACTTATTACATTGTTCAATGGATAGGAATAATCCTCTATTTGTACAGGACAAATATATAAACGTCGAACCAACAAGTCCATAAAATATGCAGGATAATTGCCCATAAGAAATTCATCTACAAACAAATTAGGTACATTAGCTAGTGCATTATTGGTAGCAGATTCTGACCCCTTTAAGCATGTCTAATATTTCAACTTCGTTCTCTTCCTCTTCTTCTTCTTCTTCGGATGATTCAAAGTCTCCATTTTTATCAGTTTCTTCTATGTACATTAGACTATTAACATCTCCATCAAATTAAAAAATTCTGTTTATGGAATGTGTTGTGGCACGAGCTGCATATTCCTGTGAAAACCCCAATGGAAGTAAGCAAGTATTTCTGTAGATGCATTTGTATAGCCATTTTTTGTCTTACGGTTTTAGGTGATCTACATAGTATTCCAATGACTGCTTTGTCCAAGATGTAAAATCCGCTCAACCATTGTAAAGTTGCTTCTATACAATACTGTCGATTACTATACCTTTTTCTTGTTATTCGTCGTAACTTTAAATAACGAAAGAAGTTTCTAAATGTACCACGTTTTACATAATCATTGCCTAGTAATATTGCAGCTAATGGCAGTGTAGATTGACTTAAACCTCTATAAGAATTTAATAAGTGTTCAACTTTATAAATTTTACAACGTTTCGTGTAACCATTTCCAGTTGAACTTTTCACCGTGTAATTGTCCAATGTATCAAACGGTATGTGCAATGTCCCAAACACATAAAAATCTGAATTATAACTCGATACAGGACAATTCAATATCCTTGCTACGGTAGCTATAGCATTATCAGCTTCGAATAAGCATTGCACATGACGAATATTCTTCTTTCTCCTAACATCTTTGAAAACTTCCTAAATATGTAAAGGAAAAAATTTCATTTTCTGTTGACAGATCGGAGAATAAGATGATGCTGTACGAACCTTTTCTCTAGATCTAGATATAACTGTTTGCAGTTTCTTATCCTCGCAACCACAATCGATCAAAGCTAATGGTACTGCATTGCACTTTATCAAATCGTCAAAAAAATCCGATACTCGTTGAGCGTATTTATCGTAATCACCGACAAAAACACAATTGCACTTGTACCAATTATATATTTGACAGCTGAATAACTAAATACGTATCACGTAGCTCGAAATATTCCAAATAACGATCTGAACGATTGTTTATGAAAGTTGTTAAACCTGGAATACCCATTTTGAAACTTATTTATTAATTTACACTTTTCTTAATGTTTCATATCACAAACTAAGTTCGTTATGCGTATATCAATATTAGTTATGCATTTATACATAGGTTACATGTAACAGGTACTCAAATTTTGTGTCATTCGTTATTTTATTTGAACCAAAAGTTTGTTAAATATTATACTTTGACTACTTGGATAAATCAAAGAAATACAAGAGCTGTGCATAATGTTTTTGCATTGATCTTTACGATATTACAAACCGGTATAATAAAAATAAAATTAGATAGTATACTGATCTTGCATAATTAAGTGCATTGACGGGCGACAATACTAACGACGAATTTCCTTCCTATACATATAGGCAAATATACCATGTTCAGTTTTATTGCATAACTTGTTCCATAACAGAGATGTAAAGTGTCGCTGAATTGTTAAATATAAAAGTCGGTAACAAAACAGAGATGTAAAGTGTCTCTGAGTTGTTAAATATAAAAGTTGTTACAAAACAGTGATGTAAAGTGTCTCTGAGTTGTTAAATATAAAAGTTGTTACAAAACAGAGATGTAAAGTGTCTGTGAGTTGTTAAATATAAAAGTTGTTACAAAACAGAGATGTAAAGTGTCTCTGAATTGTTAAATATAAAAGTTGTTACAAAACAGAGATGTAAAGTGTCTCTGAGTTGTTAAATATAAAAGTTGTTCAGTTCATTGCATAAGTTGTTCCCACGAATGAGATTTTCTTGGTCTTTAAAAAGACCGGTTTTCTCCCTTGCCCGTTGCTCGTGAAACATCTTCTTGGCCGCCATCTTCGATTTTGATCGAATGTAAATCTTCAATTAAATTCTTCATCTCGATGCGGTCCGTCTTGCTTGGTGGTTGGGAGATAACTCCCGCGCGAGGGCCTCAGGGGGCTCTTATAACGTTTCAAGGTGGACGGACGATGGTCGCCCCCAGCGGACTGGCTGCTGATTGGCTCGTTGATTCTTTGGCTTGACTGCATAAAAGTGGACACAGCTGGGCAACTCTTTTCAGTACTCCTGGAACCGCCGGGGGTACTGTCACGCGTTTTTGTTTTCTGTTTCAGATATCTTCTGCGATGCTGACCAGGAAGGAAGGATCACCCTTTGGTTTTGGTATAGATACAATTAATATTAATATAACTAATGAAAATATTGTGTTTTTCTGCATTTTTATGTATATAGGTATTTTCATATTTGGGTTCTTCGTTCATCTAGTTTTATCTATATTAATTACATCGTTGGGTTGATATTTTTCAATTTATTCTATTCTATCTTCGTCTCGCTTTCATCGTTGGTTTGTTCTTTTACGATTTATTTTGTTATTCGTCTTGCGCTTCGTTGGTTTTTTAATTTTCAAAATTAATCTATAATTCAAAGTACACATCGTTGGTTTCTTTTTTTTCGAATGATTCGTTTCGTTAATTTACTTCGTTGGATTGTTCCAATTCCTTATTTCAAACTAATTTGTTATTTAGGTTTTATTATTTGTCTACATGTACACATAACTACTAATTTTTATTTCAGTTTTTTACCAGATCAATTTCTAGGAGGAGGAGGAGATCAATAGATGACGTCGGATTCATCGGGATTTACACGTAAGCGATTAATTTTAAGGCGCAGCGCGAATGTAAAAATTAACGTCGAATTTTTCTTTTTCCTTCTTTTCCTTGTTTTTCCGATGTTTCCTATATTTCATTAATTCACATTAATTCTCAATTCCACCTACGACGTTAATTTTCAATTTACATTGTATATTATTTTATTTACTGCGTAGATTGCCAAGTAATGAATTAATTAATAGCTTATTTTCCAGTCTCGTTTCCCCGTTTCTAGCTCCGGTCACCGCTGCTTTGATGTAAAAAGCAAGTGATCGGCCGTTTAGATGGTTCGAAGGGTCGGTTGCCGTCCTCTGGTGAGACAATTCTAGGGAAAGAGTCATCGGCCGTAGAGGGGACCTGTTCCTGTCTGCGGTAGCCCCGACTCAGGATCTCTCTCCTGTGTAAGACGTCCCGGGTTGGGTCCTACGGGCTCCCAGCAGGGCGCGTTGGAGAAATGGGGAACCCGTGTCTGGTGCGTCGATTCTCCTCCCCTTCAATTGGACTTGCTAAGAGGTAACGAGCTGCCCCTTTTGACCCGCTATTCGGTACGGTGTCGCACCTCATGTTCCTACTGCACTGTGCAGCATTGTGTCGCGTTTCGTCGTGTCGCGTCTCCCACAATTTCGCTTCCTCCTTTGTTTTAGAAAAGTAATTACTTGGCATCTTTTTTTTTGCGTAATCTAGTTTCTAAGTGTGTAAAAAGGAAGGTCGATCGAACTTTGTTCCATCGATCTCACTTTGGGTCTCCAATCGCAGCAACCTCCTCGTGGTGAGACCTGGTAATCGGTGTTACCTTTCAAGAAGAACTTCTTCATTATGGGTAACACCGAGCTAATGGCTGCGAATTTAAAACAATATAAATTTCAGTTTTAATCGAAATCAAAATCAAATGTTGTCTAATACTTTTTTCTAGGTACTACTTCTAGAAAAAATTTCAATGATATAAGTTTTACTATTGTAAAAGTTATGATCGTTTGAAAATTGACAATTTTTCTGAGCATTTTGTCACTTTACGACGTTATGGAACAACTTTTCGAATATTCTTAGAATTTCTACATATTCTTCACCAAAATACGCGTTGTTTGCAATTTGAAACATTAAAATCCTCCAATCCGTTCAGAAGTTATAATGTTTTAAAAATGCAGAAATGTTCGCTTGAAATTTCATGCGTATGTTTAAAATATTTAGATGTATATTTAATTTTATGTTGTTGGAAGTTGCGCGTCAAGTGCTGACCTGGCGTAACATGTGGCTCGTGCGGTAGGATATGTCGGCTGTCCCCACCACTCCGTTAAACGCTAAAGAAGTTCGTCGTCACTATTGTCGATTTCGATGCATTAAATTACCACCAAATTTATTCATAAACGAACTTCCGTTTACGTTTAATTTAAAGATTTGAAT